TGTGGAGTGTGGAGTGTAAAGTGTAGAGTGTGGAGTGTGGAGTGTAGAGTGTAGAGTGTGGAGTGTGGAGTGTGGAGGGTAAAGTGTGGAGTGTAGAGTGTGGAGTGTAGAGCGTGGAGTGTGGAGAGTAAAGTGTGGAGTGTGTAGAGTGTAGAGTGTGGAGTGTAGAGTGTAAAGTATAAAGTGTAAATTGTAGAGTGTAGAGTGTGGAGTATGGAGTGTAAAGTGCAGAGTGTGGAGTGTCGAGTCGAGTGTAGAGTGTGGAGTGTAAAGTGTAGAGTGTGGAGTGTGGAGTGTAAAGTATAGAGGGTAGACAGTAGAGTGTGGAGTGTGTAATGTCGGGTGTGAAGTGTGGGGTGTGGAGTGTAAAGTGTAAAGTATAGAGTGTAGAGTGAGGAGTGTAGAGTGTAGAGTGTGGAGTGTAAAGTGTAGGGTGTGGAGTGTAAAGTGTGGAGTGTGGAGTGTAAAGTGTAAAGTGCGGAGTGTAGAGCGTGGAGTGTAAAGTGTGGAATATAGAGTGCAAAGTGTAGAGTGTAAAGTTTACAGTGTGGAGTGTGAATTATAAAGTGTAAAGTGTGGAGTGTAAAGTGTAAAGTTAGGAGTGTCGTGTGTATATAGAGTGTAGAGTATGGAGTGTAAAGTGTTAAGTGTAAAATTTGGAGTGTAAAGTGTGGACTGTGGAATGTAGAGTGTGGAGTGTAGAGTATGAAGTGTAGAGTGTGGAGTATAAAATATAAAATATAAATATAAAGGGTGAAATATAAAATAGGAAATATAATATATGGAATGAATAATAATTAATATGGAATGGGGGAATTTAAATTAATTATAAAATATAATATATTTGAAATATTATATTTAATTTTTAAAATAATTTAGGAAATTTTTAAAATATTATAAATAATTATTGAATTTTGACATTTATTATTAACAAATTATTTTCTATATTAATATATAATAAATTCTTTTTGAAATAATATATATTATTTTTTTTGGTGATTTTTTTAATATACAAATTTATATTTTTTGATATTTTGCCTTGTAATTAAATTCGTTTTTTAGATT